CATATTTAATCCCTACTTATGTGTAAGGCATTATGCAAGGAATCAAATGGCAGAATAAAAAACCACCTCTGATCTCCAGAAAGCACAATCTAGAAAACAGGAGAGAACAGCTTCATACAGGACTTAAATGTAACTGAAGAGCTGTGCGCGTCCCGTAACGGGATAAAACAAGGCTCCAGGGCACTCAAAAGCAGTGTCATCTGGCTGGTGAGATGACAGGAGCCTAACCAAAGAGCCCATTTTTACAATGGAATTTGCAGGCAGGGAAGCTAATTGGGGAAAGAGCAAAGATAAAGAAATAGTGATTGGTTTAGGGAACAGCGAACTGCTTATCTTCAAAAAACATACATTTATAAAAAGCAGATATTTTTAAGCAGAAACCAAGTTACAAATGAAATCTTACATAGAACCCCGATATATAGAACAATAAATGTAGTATTTTATTAACATAAGTGTACTTTATGAGTTCAGATTGACAGCATTTACTTATTATGAAGTCAAAAATGGGAACATGCAGTTCCCTTGATAAAAATCACAAATTGGTATCAGGGGTGAGGAATAACAACCCCCGTGCCGAATTTCTGCATTTTGTTCTGATTGCCCAATATCAGACAATCCGCCTGTCACACCCACATGGACAAGCAGGGAGGAGACACGCTGTCATGCACTGCAAGGGGGAGAGCGCTGCAGAGACCGCGTCCATCAAAATTCCAAGTGCCTGTCCCCTTTGACCCAGCATATAGCCCAAAAATATGCAAAACACTCTAAATGCTCCCTGTGGCACTGTCTATATCAAAACAAAACAGAAACCACCTACGTTCTCATTACCGAAGGCCTGGTTAAACAAATCACGCTATATCCATACCACGAAATATCAAGCAAATATTTTTTCAACGAGGTATATACACACTACACATATGTAATGACAAGGAAAAATACTCAAAGTTATACTTAAGTGAAAATGGCAATTTTCAGCAGCAGCAACTGAACTATACTGAGCGCTTATTAAGTATCAGGCACTTGTGCTAAGTGTTCAAACAATGAACTCATTTAATCTCAGAATAACCCCATGACACAGGGTTTCCTTTCACAAAAAAGGCAAAGAAGATACACAAATATTAAGCGCTTTTCCAAGGTAACACAGCTAGTAAATGACAGAAGAGCCAGGATCCAAACCAAGACTGTCTGAATCCAGAGCTTACACTCACAAAACAGTTCAAACAGTACCAACCAATTTGCGTGGTTTTAAGTATATTTACCAACAACTGGCTTATATCTATATATGTATATGTAAGATCTCTGGAGGTATGCATTTAAAAAACTACACTCTCCAGCCTTGAGAGAGTGGAAAGACAGAAAGAGGGCTTTCACATTTCACAGGACTACCTTCAGCGCCATCTAAATTCTTTTTCTAAAGTAAGCAAATACTACTTTTACACTTTGTAAACAATTTTTTTCAAGAATCCTGATCATACAATAAAGATGAGCTTTATTCATCTTGTAATTGCAGGATACTCTTCAATTAAATAGATGCAGAAACTTCACCAAGTAAAGGGAAAGCTTTTCACAAAGTTGAATCTCTATCAGCTGCTCATATTCCTCATCACAATCTAAGTCAGTAAAGCACTGAAAATGGCCAATAAACACTAAAATTAAACATAATGTGGTGTTTCCAGCTGTCTTGCTCCTCTCACCTTTGTTCTTGCTCAATTACTCCCCAGGACGAGCGCATTTAACTGGCAGCCCGAGCCTGTGCTCTTCTCACGGTACAGTGGTCCGCGCGCAGCCACACAGACCTCAGCTCAGAGACAGCCCAGGCACGTGCGCTGTACCTAGCAGTCATTCACCCCCCACTGGGCAGACGGTTCGGAGTGCCCACCAAGGGTCAAGCACTGTGCTAGGCGCTGGGGACACAGCAGAACAAGACAGACAAGGCCGCTGCCCTCTGAAACTGACATTCCAGTGGGGAGAAAAGGTCAGCAGCTTTACTCTGAAGTAGGCACATGTCACTCTGGAGCCACAAGCTAACATACTAATGATTACAAATGTCCTTAAGTTGGGATTAAACAGAATGGCATGTGCATGGTTTTTTTAAAGTTTAATTATTATTAATTATTTGAGCAAAAGCGGGATTTCATCCAAAGATCTGTGCCAGCCTAGAAGCATCTCTGTGAAACTATTTTCTGGGAGGCGGAAGGTGGGAGGTGGGAGGAGAAACAACTAGAGCCAAATACAGGTGAAAATGTACCGCGTAAAAGCTTCCTCTGCACCAGTCCCTGTGCTGAGAGCACTGCAAACGTGTTATTTCACGTAAACTGCCCAGTAACCCAGTCAGAGCATTATCTCCACCTTGAGATGAGAAAGCAAACTCAGACAGGCTAAGAAACTCGCGCAAAGACACTCAGCTAGTAAGACGGCTGACTCAGCCTCGGATCCCAGCCTCCAGACACTGAGCCTATGCTCTGACTGCGGCCCTACACCGTCCTGAGCAGTGGCAGCCCGCTGAGGAAGAGATGTGCATTTAATCTGGTAGGCCGTGTGAAGGAAGGCTGACAAGACTCTCGAGCAAAGCCAAAAGATCATCTCCTTCAGTCTGTATTGAGCCCAACTTTAGGAAGACGACTCCGTCCACAGCGAGTATAATGACCTGGACCAGGGAACAAGTGGAGGCAGTGGTAGCAATTATGAATCAGGGAGGAGGCCACGAAACTGAAAACGCTCCAAAGCTAAGAGCTCCGAGAATGGAGACGACAGCCCAGCCTCCCAGTACCCTCCTTCCCAGGGAATTTGCCCTCCTTCCATTAAACCAAGATGTGGGAAAACTGTGCACAGGGGACAGGTGAGCCGCATGCCACCAGACACGTTTTAACTTCCTTCCAGCAGAATAATGTTTTCTAAACTGTGTTAGGTGGAAAACCGCCTAGAGAGACTCCTCCGTTCAGCCTGAGCTGGACTGAGCAAATCTAACAGACGTGCTGGGACTGCCAGGAAACACCCCAGGCTCCTCCCGGAAAAACGGAAGGGGGAAGGGAAAAGGGGAAGTGTTTTGAGTTTCAAACACTCTCCATGTGATGCTACAATTTTCACTCTTGCCACAATTAACTCAGCAATTGAGAATTACTTTCTAGGGGTTTCTGAAGGTGCTTCGAATGTGGTATATGTGGTAGGGGAGAGGGGTGTGAGTGAGAAATAGAGAAATTCCCTTCCTCATAAGTATTTTGGGGGAAGGGAAATGAATCACATCTATGTTTCCCACCTTACTGCACCTAATCCTCCAAGCCTTTCCCCAAGGATGGATCCAAAAGCCATCCCTTAGACGGCTTCAGGTCAGTCACCAGCATTCCACTGGGATTTCATGACTTCTCCAGGTATGGGAGACAGAATCATGCCCCCGCCCTCCCATCAAAGATGGCCACATCTGAATTCCTGGAATCTGTGAATAGGTTACCTTCCATAGCAAAGGGGGATTAAATTGCAGATGGAATTAAGGTTGCCAACCAGGTGACATGAAAACAGGGAGATCATCCCGGATTATCTGAGTGGGCCCAATGCAAGCACAAGGCGCCTTAAAAGTGGAAGAGGGAGGCAGAAGAGAGGTCATGGTGATGTCACGTGAGAAGGACTCAACCTGCCGTGGCTGGCCTTGAAGACAGAAGAAGGGGGTCAGGAGGCAAGGAATGCACGCATCCTCCACAAACTGCAAAAGGCAAGGAAACTGATCCCCCTCAGAACCTAGGGAACGGAATACAACCCTGCCCATGCCTTGATTTTAGCCCAGTGAGACCCTATCAGACTTCTCACCCACAGCACTAAAAATCATAAATTTGTGTTCTTTTAAGCCACTGAATTAGCGGTAATTTGCTATGCAGCAAATAGAAAACGAATACATCAGGCTTGTCCTAATCTTGGATTTTAGGAAATTTTTGTCAATAATGATAACTACTAACGATTACCTACTAAATTCCAGTTTTTTATAATTCAGGATACTACCAGCCCGTGAACTGTTTAGTACCGGTCCCCAAGGAGATAAGTACAGAAATTGAGAGTTTATTTTTATATAATTTAATATTGCCAGACATCCAATTTCATTTCTGCTGCATCCGATAATAAAAAAAAAAAAAAACTCTGGCTTGTATTTATGCCTATTTCTTCCATTTCACTTACCTAGCAATCCTATCGTATCATACAAAGGTACTGCCTGAGACAAACGGAAATTTTATATTTAAAAAAGGTCATTTACAGAAAAGGAGAGTGAAGCACTGACAGGTTAAATGACTTGCTCAAGTTCACAGAGACAGTAATTCTCTCATTCACCTCTCCGCTGAATTAAATAATACTTATCAAGAGCCTTGCACCGCACACACCGAGCTCCACGCTGGAGCTACTGCGCAGAACAAGACGAGCAGAGCGCCCTGAATTCCCCGCCGGGAGCCCCGCTGGCCTCCGAGTCCCGGGAGTCTCCCTACTGCGCCTCGCTGGCAGCGCCCCCTGCTGGCTTCCCTTCCAGCACTCGTCCCAAGGAGATGCGAGCAGAGTGCGGACAGCGCACGTTCAGCGTGTAAATACGGAACAAAAGCGCAATAAATGGAGGGAAAACACCAACCACGCGCTCTGTTCCACGTGGCCAGCAGCCGGACCCAGAGACAGCCCGGCTGCCCGCTCCACACCCGACGCTGGGCCCCGCCCCGACTTCAGGCTCCACCCCCGACCCCGGGCCCCGCCCCGACTCTCGGCTCCACCCCCGACGCCGGGCCCCGCCCCGACCTCAGGCTCCACCCCCGACGCCGGGCCACGGCCCCGACTTCAGGCTCCACCCCCGACGCCGGGCCACGGCCCCGACTTCAGGCTCCCCCCCGACGCCGGGCCCCGCCCCGACTCTCGGCTCCACCCCCGACACCGGGGCTCGCCCCCGTCTCCCGGCCCACCCCACCCCCTACACCGGCTCCGCCCCGGCTCCCGGCCCCGCCCACCGCGTCGCCGGCGTCGCTCCCGCGACTCACTCTCGTCTGCCCGAGCTCCGCCTTCCGCTGCAGCTCCGAGTGCCGCTCCAGAGCGCTCGCGAAGCCGCCTGGGCGCGTGCTAGGCTCCGTGGGCTCGGAATTCTCGCTCCCGGAGGCACTCTCAGTCCCTACGCCTCGACAGGGCCGGGAGAGGAGAAACATTCGCAGGAGATGTCTCTCGGCAGTCACGGCACGGGTCCGACACAGCGCCGCCATGATGGCTGCACGACCTCTGACTTTCGACCTTTCCGCAAGCGTGCAGGGCACGGGGCGGAGCCACGAGAGGCCCGCCCCCTTGCCGTAGAGCACGGACGCGCGGCGGGCGTGGTCTAGTCGGTGCAGGGTGGGAGTGTGGCGCCCGAGATGCTTAAGCAGAGTGGTGGCCTAGATGGTTGGTGGCCCTGCACGCAGCGATCCGCCAAGTTTTGCGTGGAAAGCATTTTTGACTCTCTGGAGTTCCGTCCTCCTGGGCCTCCATTAGGCTTTGTGCTGCTGAAAACTGGTAATGCGACACCTGCTGGCCCCGCCGCCTGGGCCTCTCCCCGGGTGGCCCCAAGCCTCGTCCCCCCACCGCTCTTGAGATCTGTGCTCAAACACGAGATTCTCCCGGATGATTTAGTTCAGAATTGGAACCCCAAACACACGCTACCGGGCTCCCCCGTTTTTCTCTGTACCATCTGGCGCTTCTTAATATGCCATATAGTTCGCTTATAGTAATTTTGTTTAGCGTTCACTCTCCCAACTTTGTAAGCTCTACTGAGCGCACGAACGTTGCTGTTGGATCCCTGACACCGGCACATAGTAGGGCTCGGTAAACATCTGTGAAATCCTGGATCCAAGTTGGTCTGTCTTCGCCCCTTCCTCTTTCAGCCCACACACTTTACAGGAATAATCTTTCTGAGATGCTTTTGTCACCTCTAGAGAGCTTCTAGGAAGTTAAGAAATTTTGGAATGTGCCTAAATAGGGCCCACCAGGGGCCGCCACTCTCTCGATTGTCTCCCTTTTTTCTCCCAATGTTAATTCCCGGAATTTGCCCGCCCTCTTCAAAACCGAGCCTAACACTAGACGTGAAAATGTGTTTACTAACTAAGCTGTCCATCCATCTTCAACCCAGCGTTTTTATATTAATCCTCCATTAGTTATTTTGGGGGGAGGTGGCAAGCACCTTTCTAGTTAATTTGCAAGTACTTAGAAGGACTTTTTATGTATGACCACAGCCCCTAGTTTAATAATGCCTTTTTCTACGGATTTTAAGTCTTTTTGTTGTTTTTATCAATTGCATACACAGTATACACAACACTAGAAAGTACGCTAACCTCGGGGTGATGTGTAGTTTTGTGAATCAGGCACCATGTATTATTACTAGCCAACCAGAGGATAATCCCTACAAATCAATAGAGAGCATAAGATAAATTCTACTCTGGGTCAGTTCTCCTTCTTGGCACTTAAACTGTTTATTTCCCTTGATCATTAATGTGTCTTGCCTAAGACATTTTTGCAGTATTCTCTATGGCTGTTGCTATTTATACTTCCCTTCAGGAGACAGTGTGGTAAACTGCAAAGGACATTGGCCAGTGACCTTAAGAACCCTTAATTCTAGCCCTGACTCCAATCCTGATCTCAGGCAAGCCAATTTGATATTGTTGATTTGGTTTCCTCACTTGTAAAACCAAGCTATGGGGCCCTGTGCTAAATTTAAGGAAGTGTTTTGTAAACTTAACTCAATCAGTACCTACAGAACGATTATTAAGGTCTCACCGCTAAAATTCAATAGATGTATTATACTTACATCCTACCTCAGCCAGATGATGAATTCCTTGAGGATTGTGACAAAAGGCATTTGGGGACAGATCCTGAAAGTTTTAATGTATAAGTTTGTATCAACTGACTTCAAGTTAAGCTTAGTTCTCCACCTTTGGTAGCACAGCAGAAGCATCAGAGAGGGACCGTGAAGGACTGAGCAGCTCAGCAGATGTCTGCACTCTGTCCTTGCCTGCATCAGCACCAACTGTACCATCAGCTCGAATGGCAGTGTTTTCACACCCTCATGGCACCTTAGGGATTCTGATGCTGCTCTACTCCTTGAACCATGCTTTCCTTCTTGCTTTATTAGAAAATACAGGCCTCCTTTTTCCTCTTTAGCTTGCAAATTGTTAGTCCACTTTGCAAAAATATCAATAATGGCGGAGGCAAGGAAAGTGAATAGAAAATAGTTCAAGTCCTGGCTCCCTGTCTACGGGCTGTGATCTTATCTATAACATGACACCGCCACATCCCTGAGTAAAGAATTAAGTGAGTGTAACACGCCCAACATTTACTGAAAGCTCAATAAATAGTGGCTATTTGTGGCTAGGTGGAGGTGACGAGGAGGAGATTAGAAATTCATGCCTCTTAAGCATGCATGAAAACCTGGAAAAAAGGATAGGGCTAGTGATACATTGAGGACATATTAGTATCAAAGATGGTCATTTCAGCCATAAATAAGATTAAGGGGAACATGTAAAAGACAACTAGGGATGAGGCGATAACATTTAAGGACTTGGAAAAAGAGAAGACCAGAAAATAGTCACACTGGGAAAGAAGAACAGAGAATTAATCCTAGCAACCAAGCGGTAAACTTTGAAGCACAAAGTTGAAAGAGTGTTAAAGTGAAAGATCACACCCGCCTAAAAATATTCAAACAACAACATGGTGTTTGGTTTTTGCTGTGTGCTAGGAAAACCACCAAATTAAAATAATCACATTACCAAGCAACCTAAGTGACAGCGAAATTACATAGGAGAGTTGGCAAGAATTGTAGTCGTCAAATAGCATTTATTTAAGTATGAAATCCCGGCAGGTGATAGGCACATGCAGGCCCTGCCCTCTGGGGGCTTACAAACTGAGAGTGAATTCTTTCGGCTCACTTTGATTTTGGTTCATTTTGATTTCAGAATCAGAATACAGAAATTGTGAAATGTAAGGTGTGCAGGTTTACTTAAACGTGACAATGTTTTATGTTAACTGTAACCCAACATGGTCTCTATAATTAATCCACTTACAATGGGACAGTCACTAATTAATGGCCAAATGTCTCTCCACTATGGGCAAAAATCTGACTTTTCATCTGTGTCTTATGAGCCATAAAGAAACATGATCCTGACGTGGGGCCTTATGCAGCATCTCCTCTGGCACATACACAGCAAACGGTCACTTATAAATGCCTTCTGGTAGTTGGCATGTAGCTTTTCAATTTTGTTTCATACACTGAATCCGTATAGCTGCTGATGGTTCTTTCCGTATCCAGGATATGAAGGGTCTGCAGAGAAGCTGTCATGGACTCACTTGTTTCCTCGACAGACAGGTAATACATACAAAAGAACCCATACCCAAATTAAAGAATTTTTATTGTTTTCAAATACTATACAAAAAAATAGACAGTGTATTTCTTGATTAACAGATCCAGAAATAGTCATTCCAAGTTAAGCATGTTTTTTCTCTATTTCAGTAGTTTCTTTGAGTTACTAAAATGATAATCCAATGAGATCTACTTTCTTCCACTGGTTACTTTGGTCTCATAAGCCTAAGAATTCTTGCCTTCTTTCCCAAGGACATTCCTTTGTAAAGGGGGATAATTTCAGGGATTATTTTCCTCTATCACACTTCTTGAATCCTCAGATATCTGCGATTTCACTCACCAGTTGCTGTTTTCTTATGTATCGAACACAAGACACGAGAGAGCGATGAGGACCTCTCTCCAGTGTTCTTAGTAATTTCCATATTCCAAATTTCTTATCTGTCTGTGAATTCCTAATATTGAATCTCCCACAAAGATCATTTTGAATAATATTTCTAAACCCGTGTTTATTTTTCTAAATTTATCCTCCCTCTACTTTTTGCTACTGCTTTTCAGAGGCAGAGTAGTCTTAAATAAGTAGAACATAATAAGCTGATTTTTATTCATGCCTCTATTTCATGCAACAGATGAAATCATTTTTATATAAGTATAGGCAGAGGTCTAGAAAAGCGATTCTCTGATTTCTTCTTTCACAACCATCACCAATACCCACATACACCCATTCCACCGTCCACCCATTTGTCATTTCTCCCCATAGAGTAAAGAGATTTGAGGATATTTCACCCAACTAAAACTGCTATCTTATTCTATTCTGCCTTGTTGAAAAGATAGTAACAGGGCAGGACACCCAAGAAACAATGGGATGAAAAGAAGATGTGACAAAAAGTTGAAAGACTAATTGGTAGAAAAAATAATTTAACAGTTATATTGAGTAACCATAATGTTCCTATAAAACAAATTTCTACAGATCCACTCCTCCAGGACAATGCTTCGACAATCTTTACCTTAAAGCCTCTACAAGGAAATAATTTATAATATTAATCTGATAGCATTAAGTAGTGATTTAAAGCAGATGGTTACACAACTGTTTTCTTAGCATAGACACCAGTTGATTATTTAATACAATGAGTTGTTTCCAGACCATTGGTCTCATAATAAGTATTGAGACCTATATTACTGATAGACAGAATTTATTAAGCTTTTCACATGTAATAGAGCGTAGTTTCAATTGTATCTAAAGTGCTAACAGAAGCTCTAGCAATCAACAATGGCAGCATGTTATAACAATCAACACCTGTGGCTTTTCAAATTTGGTTTTCATAAGTTATCCTGAAGTAAATCTAGTCATGCTTTTAAAAAATGCTTTAGGTCACTCCAAGCTTGGCAATTAACATTTGGCATAAACAATAATAAAACAATCACAACCTGATAAATAACAAATACAATACTGTAGGCCACAACCATATACAGCAAAAGGAAAAGGTGGTGGTAATGGGTAAGTAGCTGTTAGGCTTAAGAGAGTACCTTGGCCTCTATGCAGGTACTTCTAAAGGCTTCGGTTCATTCAGCCCTGACATTCAGTTTTCAAAGTAGGAGGAAATGTCTACAGTTTCATTTAAAAATTTCTAACACACTGAAAACAAGTAGAACATAAGTTGATTTTTATTAATGCATTAAACACTCAGGAGTTATCACCACCCCCTTAGTATAAAAAAATTTCAAGTTATATTAGTCATATAACTTTGTGTGCTTATTTTAAATGGTGCTAAATGAATTAAAGACACAATGTTTCCCCTAATGTGATTGATTTTAGCATTTTTGCAACTACTTAGATCTAAAAAAACTTTCAGGCTTTGAATTGAACATTGACGAGAGTGTGTTCCTATTTCAACCTACTGATAATATGCTTGATTCAGAAGGTTTT